TCAAAAAAAAAAAAAAAAAGTGACAGGCTCTAGAGTCAGATTGCTCGGGCTTCAATCCTGCCTCCACCACACATGAGTGATAGGCCCTGTGTAGACTATTTATCCTTTCTATGAATAGTTAGTTACCTGATCTGTACAACAGGGATAATCACAGTACCTGTCTCACAGTTGTTGTGAGGATTAGGTGAATCAACATGCATCAAGCGCTTAGAGCAATGTCTGGCATGTGGAAAGAGCTCAGTGTTGTCATCCTTGGTCATAATGAAGCTGGATATATTGACTCCCAGGGGCCTGGTGCTCAGGGATGAAGGTCAAGGTAAGACCTGGGAGATAGTTGCAGAGCTATGTCAGTTGGTTCTGTTCTACTGCAGCTCCCGGTGCCAGATGAAATCATCCCACTTAGGCCAGGAACAGTGGCTCATGCCTATAATCCCAGCACTTTGGGAGGCTGAGGCAGGGATTGCTTGAGGCCAGGAGTTTGAGACCAACGTAGGCCACACAGCAAGACTCTGTCTCTCTAAAACAACAACAATAATAATAAATAAAAACATAAAAATTAAAAAACTTAAAAATGAAATCATCCCTCCTACATTTACCACACATGGACAGTGTGAGTCTGCAAATGTGTTGTCCAATGTGGTAGCTGGGGCTACTAAACCCCTGAAATTTGGCAAGTCTGAACTGGAATGTTCTGTAAGTGTAAAATACCTACACTGAATTTCAAAGACCTAGTTAAGAAAACATTAAATAGCTTGTTACCAATTTTTGTATTGGTTCCATGTTGAATTTATACATTTTCAACATACTGTGTTAAAATATGTATTATTAAAAATAGTCCCTCCTGTTGCATCTTACTTTTTACAATGTGACACGAGAAAATTTAAAATTGCGTAACTGGCTCACTTTATTTCTACTGCACAGTGGTAGTCTAAAGGCTTTGAATATATTCACATGGACTGCTTTGTTGGCTGGCAATAGGAGAAAGAATTTTCATACTAGTTCTTTGATTTTTTTAAAGTTTTCATATAGTAAAATTGACTTCTTTTGGTATACAGTTGATGGATTTTAGCACATCTAGATTTGTGTATCTACCACCATAATCGGGATATAGTTTATTTTCAGACAAATTTTTTGAAGGCTGTTTAATTTTCTGGAACCACTAAAGTGATACAGCACCAAAGGAAGAGTCTCTGTGTTACTTTCAGCTGGTTATGCCAGGTTCGTACCTGGTGGCCCATGGATGTACGTAACTTTGTACAGAGTTTGAAATTTGAATTTTGAATGTCTTCAGACAGAAGTTATTCACGGTCTCCATCAGTCCCTATTGCCTTTGACTTTTTCCACTTGATTTAAGTATGTTTCTTGCTTGTCCTCTGTAAGCACTTTCCTTTGTGACCCCCAAGCACTGGAGTAGATGCTGGGATAAGAATAGTGAAGGCCGGGCTCCGTGGCTCAGCCTATAATCCTAGCGCTTTGGGAGGCCAAGGCGAGTGGATTGCCAGAGCCCATGGGTTCGAGACCCACCCGGGCAACTTGGCAAGACCTTGTCTCTGCAATAAATCAAAAATTAGCCAGGTGTGGTAGCACGTGCCTGTAGTTCCGGTTACTTGGAAGGTTGAGGCGGAAGGATCGCCAGAACCTAGCAGGTTGAGGCTGTGGTAGCTGGGAGCATGCCAGTGCACTCCAGCCTGGGCGATGGAGTGAGACTCCAACTCAAAAAAAAAAAAGTATAATGAAGAAGACTCCTAGCCCCTGCCTGCCTGGACACTGACTGGAGACTGCTGAGGTCTAGCTTTTACCCAGGATTAGGGAAACAGGCCTTTAGCATAGAGTCTGATGGGTATAACTGTTTCCTCTATCCCCACCTGCTGTAATGGCACATCCTGTATCACTCCCTGCTCATCCTTATTTTTTGCCTGCATGAGACAGTTCTGGAGAGTGGTCTTTTTCACAGTATGGTGATATCTGGTATCTGTTTCAGGGGGCACCGAAGAGCACCTCCCAGGACTGTCATCTTCCTCGGACCAGTCCGAGAGCTCTTCGGGAGAGAACCAGGTGGTGGATGGAGGCTCTCAGGATCTTTCCCACTCGGAGCGGGATGATTCCTCTGAAAAGATGGGCCTCATCTCTGAAGCGGCCTCCCCACCAGGGAGCCCCCAGCAGCCCTCACCTGACCTGGCCTCCGCCATCAGCAACTGGGTTCAATTTGAAGATGACACACCCTGGGCCAGCTCATCACCTCCTCATAAAGAAACAGGTGAGACAGGTGGGAAGCTGGGAAGTTTCCACTTTGGGTATCTCTCAGCAGGGGTGCCGTTCCATGAGAGGTCTATAGGGCTGCCAGGATTCTGTTTTACCTGCTTCAGAGCCCTGATGCATCAGCCACTTAGGAGGGAGCAGACAGATCTCATTTGGTTTAATTCTGTAACTCATTTTTGTTGACATGTGCATTCAAAAGAACTTAGGTGTTCTGGAACATTCCAACCTTTTAATCTTGTCCCTAGCTCTTGACTTGCGTTTGAAAAAAATGCATAAAAATTTATCTGTTAGGGATTGACATTATATTTACCCAGCCCCTAAACTGTGATCTCCTCACATGGAGAAGTGAATGTCTCAAAGTGTATACCCCCGACTCTCTCTAAAGGAGGCACTGGTGGGACTTGTTAAAAGTGAATATTCTCATACTCCAGACCGCTTGAATCCAGATCTTCAGGGGTGGGGATGTCATTGATGGTAAAAATCTTCTTTTGTGGCGCTTCAGTGACCAGAAGCTGCAGGGGCACTTGGTGAAGCCATAGGAGGCCATCTCCACCCTGGTGAGCTGGCTGTTTATTTTGTTGTGACTGGATAAGCTTTGGAACTGTATTAGTTTTCTACTTGCTGCTGTAACAAATGACCACAAATGTAGTGTGAGCTTAAACAACATGAATTTATCGTCTTCCTAGTCTATATTTCAGAAGTCCATCATGGGTGTTCCTGGGCCAGAATCCAGGGGGTAGCAGGGCTGTGTTGCTTTCCAGAGGCTCTAAGGGAAAATCTGTTTCCAGGCCTTTTCCAACTTCCAGAGGCCGCCCACATTCTTGGAAAATGACCTCTTGCTCTGACTCCAGAGCCAGGAATGTTGCTTCTCTCTGTGTTTTTCTTTTCAACTCACATCTTTCTTTGACTTCTTCTGCTTGTCATCCGTTAATGACCTTTGTGATTACTTTGGACCCAGCAGGATAATGACCTATCCCACAGTCCTTAACATAATCACATCAGTAAAGTCCCTTTTGCCATGTAAGGTGACATATTCACAAGTTCTGGAGAGGAGGACGTGGACATCTTGGGCTCTGGGGGGCATTATTCTTAGCAGCAAAAAGCAAGATTGGCATATTTTTCTGTTGATGGAGTAAATGTTTTGCTAGTTTAAAACTTTTTTTAAAACTGTTTCCTTTGTTTTCCAACATGTTTTCAACACCAATAAGAATGATATATTTTTTTGAGCCAGTATCTTACTTTTTGCCTAGGCTGGAGCACTGTACCACTGTACAGTCACAGCTTACCACACACTCGAACTCCTGGGCTCAAGCAATCCTCCCACCTTGATCTCCTGAGTAGTTGGGACTACAGGCATGCACCACCATGCCCGGCTAAATTTTTTTTGTTTTCTTGTAGAGAAGAGGTCTTGATCTGTTGCCTAGCTGGTCTTGAACTCTTGGCCTTAAGTAATCCTCCCGCGGTGGCCTCCCAAATGCTGAGATTATAGGTGTGAGTCACCATGCCCAGCCAAAAATGATTTTATGGAAACATAAAACATAATTCTATCATATAACAAGTGTTTCCATTTCATATATAAGCCTCACATTTCTCTGTGAATTGCTGGTGAAAGCCCTGACACTCAGAGCAGTGTAGAAGGAGTGTCAGGTCCAGACAGGTTTCCGCTGCTGAACACCTAACACTGGCAAGCTCCAGGCTGAGCATTTATGCATGTAGGAAATAGTTGCTGAGCACTGGGCAGTGAGCCAGCACAGACATATAGACTTATGTTTAATAAAGCACTTTACTGCATACTTCCTCTCTCAGTTTCTGTGCTCCATGCTTTGTCTACATCATCTCATGTATTTATAACCATCATATGAGGAAGTATTCATCTTTTATTCATATTACACATGATGGAGATTGAGACAGACAGTGGCTTGGGAACTGGCCCCAGGTTGTATGCTTGGTGGTAGCAAGAGAGCTTCAGCACCAGGCTGGTCCCATAGTCTTGGAGCAACCCAGGGATACGCTGTGCTATGCACCTCACTCTTCCTGGGGCTGCCGCACTAGTATCCTTGGCCCTCTAGTATTTTTGGTTACGTGAGAGGCAGGAGAGGTGAGAATAGGAGGTGAAGGATGGGCACTGTGGCATTTCTCCATTCAGTGGCCCTAAATTGGCCATGCCTGCAGGTCATTGATTTTGTTCACGTCATTCTGATTCTTTCATGTCTTGTTCATACTTTACCTTTAGCCACAGAGATTTCCTGATTGCTCCCGACTGTTTCTATTGTGATGGGCCAGTTTGCATCAACTCTTCACTCATTTTTCAAGACTAATTCTGGAGTTAGTCGTAATTATGATAGTTTTGATATATTGTTAAAGCTTTATCCTTTAAGGCAGCAGTTCACAAAGTGTGATCTATAAGCCGGACTTGGTGACTCGGCCTGTAATCCTGCGCTTTGGGAGCCTGAAGTGAGTGGATTTCCTGAGCCGCGGGTGTGAGACCCGCCTGGGCAACTGGGTGAGACCTCATCTCTACAATAAATAAAAAAATTAGCTGGGTGTGGTAGCGCGCGCCTGTAGTTCCAGCTACTTGGAAGGCTGAGGCAGAAGGATCGCTGGAGTCCAGCAGGTCGAGGCTGCGGTGGCCGGGAGCGTGCCTCTGCACTCCAGTCTGGGCGACAGAGTGAGACTCCCAACTCAAAAAAAAAAAAAGTGTGATCTATAGAGCCCTGGGGTTTCCCAAGACCCTTTCAAGTGAACTTTGAGGTTAAAATCATTTTCATAATTATCCCAAGTTGTTATTTGCTCGTTTTACTGCATTGACATTTGCATTGATGGTACAAAAATAACAGCAAGTAAAACTTCTGGTCATTGTCTACTCATAGTGAAAAAGTCAGTTTCACTTAACAATATCCTTGATAAGGTAATAAAAATTAGTTTTTTGAAACTCTTGATTCTTGAGTATGTCTTTTTAATATTTTCTGTGACAGACTGGGAAATATATATAAATAATTTTTGCCCCATTCCAAAGTATGATTGTCTTGAAAAATGCTTATCTTGAAAAAAACTGAGTTTATATTTTTTAATTTAAAAATCAATTTAAAAATGAAAAATTTTTTTAAAAAATCAAATAAGCAAAAAGAAATTTTTTTTTTTGAGACAGCATCTCTATCACTCAGGCTGGAGTGTAGTGGTGACAATCATGAATTATCACAGCCTTGAAATCCTGGGTTCAAGTGATTCTCCTGCCTCAGTCTCCCAAGTAGCTAGGATTCTACAGATGTGTACCACTGTTCCCTGCTAATTTTTCTGTTTTGTTTTTTTTTTATTTTTTATTTTGGTAGAGACAAGGTCTCACTTTGTTATTTAGGCTGGAACAATTCAACAATTCTTTATGAAAAAATATTGATATTTTAAAGTAGTATTCAAATAATACTTGCCTGAGCCTGTCACACTTGATACCCTAATTTCTGCCGTGGTTTCAATAAAACTTTATTTACAAAAGCTTGTGAGCCAAAGTTTGCTACTTGGATTTTGATTGATATTTTAAATATTCCATTGAAATGTTATTTTGATTAGTGAGTTTTTTTTTTTTTTTTTTGGCTCCCCTCCCCACTTACATTTTACACCCAAGGCAAGTGTATCACATACCTTAGCCTAATTCCAGCCTTGCCATGTTCTAAGACTATGAGATTTATTGATATTACTAGAGAATTAGTCAATAAATGACAACTTTGAGATGCATGAAAGCATAATTTTGGCTGGAAAACTTCTCAAATTTGACTAATTCCATCTGTTTCCATGTGTGAAGATTTAACTCTCTGCCTCTAGCCTGTGGAATGGTTTCCCAGCAGACCTGATGCCTCGTCTGAAGGCAAGATGCAGGGATAATAAGCTAAGCACAGGACAGTTCCACCTCAGGCAATGCTTCTAACATGGAAGCCCAAGAACCATGGAGGACTGCGCAGAGCATCAAGTGGGTAAAGAAAATGGTAATAAGTCCTAGGGCCTGAGTCCAAATTTCCTACCAGTACCCAGCTTGACCCATCAATGAACCTACTAAATAAAAGGCTACAAGGTACATTCCAGTTACCCAAACCCACCTCTGCCACACAGCCAACTCCCTGAGGGTTTCCTCTTATGGACTGTGTTTAGCAATCAGGAAGAGTTGTTGGCAGAGCAAAGGACAGGCAATACGAAGGAGAAATGAGACTGTAGCCTTTCAGCTTGGATAATGCAGACATTCCCCAGGTTAGATAGTTGTTCCATTCTTGAGGCTGTTGGGCACTTCAGCTTCTAAATTTGAATCCAGAATGTTCGATTGGCCAGGCATGGTGGCTCACATCTGTAAACCCAGCACATTAGGAGGCCAAGGCAAGAGGATTGCTTGAGCCGGGGAGTTCAAGACCAACTTAGGCAGCATAGTGAGACCTCATCTACAAGAATTAAAAAATTAGCCAAACGTGGTGGTATGGATCTCTAGTCCCAGCTTCTTGGGAAGCTGAGGTGGGAGGATCACCTGAGCTCAGAAGATTGAGGCTGCAGTGACCTGTGATTTTGCCACTGCCCTCTATCCTGGGTGACACAGTAAGAACCCAACTCAGAAAAAAAAATGTTTGGTTACATGTGCCATATATTGCAATAGCACCACTTATGTAACTGCTGGCATTACACAGAAATAACACAGATGTATGCAGTGAGTATCCTCACAGTGAGAGACAGTATTACTAAGACTCCTTGCAGTCACCACTTCCTATTCTGTTCTTTCGGTGATACTCAGCTAGATAATGGCTCCCAAAGGCCTCAGGCCATTGTCCCTAGAACCTATAAATGCTCTCTTATTTGAAAAAAAAGGCCTTTGCAGATGTGATTAAGGATTTTGAAGCTGGGCACAGTGGCTCACGCCCTGTATCCCAGCACTTTGGAAGGCCGGCGTGGGAGGATTGCTTGAGGCCAGACCAGCCTGGTCAACATAGCGAGACCTTGACTCTACAAAAAATCAAAAAAATTAGCTGGTTTTGG